AGGCGAAGCCTATAGGAGTCTCCATTTGAAAGATTCCCCAAGGGGCGCCTGGGTGGCTCAATCAGTTAAGTGTCTGACTTTGGCTCAGGTGATGATCTCGGGGTCCCGGGATCGAGCCCCAAGTGGGGCTCCTGGCTCAGTGGGGAGTCTGTTTCTCCCTCTCCCTCTGCCCCTCCCCCTGCTCCTGCTCTCTCTCTCTCATAAAAAAACAAACAAACAAATATATATATTCCCCGAGATGATTCTGACTTGTGACAGGAGAGTGCCATGCTTTCATGCAGGTCTACTAGTGCTCTGCAATGAGTGAGTGAAATGAGCGGCACTGGTCCGGGGTGCCAGCAGATGGCGCTGTGTCAACGTAAATGCTTTCGTGTGAGTGGGAGGAGGAAGACGGGAAGTTTTGTTTTACTGGAATTCAAGCCTCAAATGCTGCGTAGTTGAATTTATTATTTTTTTTTTCCTGCTCAATTTGCCTATCATTGTCCCACTTGCATGAATAAATTGATTTCTGACGGGATGAGGACTTGGACAAGCAAAGGGGAAAGAGGCTGATCACAGAGAAGATCTGAGCTGGCAATGCAGACAGAACGATATTTCTGATTACCCTCATTTCCATCCCCAATGATGGAAAGCTGCTCCTAGCGAGCACTGAGTGTTGTGAAATTACCCAAAGCATTCAAAAGAATATGCCATTTCAGCAAGAGGGTGGAGCCATCCTGTAATTTCTGGTAGTCCTTCCCGGTTTTCTTTATGGACTGTCACATACCTGTATGGTCAACCTTTTATTTTAAGTAGGCTCCACACCCAGCAAAGGCGCCCAGAGGGGCCTTGAACTCAGACCCTGAGATCAAGACCTGAGCTGAGATCAAGAGCCAGACGCTTAACCCACTGAGCCACCCAGGTGCCCCCATGGTTAACCTTTTCAAAATCGCTTCCCTCACAATCCAAAGTCTGAAAGCCTGAGTCTTCCTCCTGAGCTGAGTACTTCTTTCTCCTAAGGGACAGGGGCCCCACAGACAACCCTTCCTCCCCCTTCCAGCCTCCCTCTTGCCCCCCAGGGGCATCCATGTGCAAATAACTGATAGGGCTGGCATGGGGCCAGGGAAGACTATCAGGGAAGTCCAGAGCTAGGGGCTGAGCTGTTTTCCTTTGCAGTGAACCAGGGGTGGGGTTTGCTGCATTTTCAGCTCTAGGCAAACGAAGGAGAGTGGTGAGCACAAAGGGGCATAGTCTCAATCTTATTGGGAAGGCACAGTTTATTTATTTTTAATTTTAATTTTATTTTAATTAGTCTCCACGCCCAACGTGGGGCTTGAACTCACGGCCCTGAGATTAAGAGTCACCTGCTCTACCAACTGAGCCAGTCAGGTGCCCAGGGAAGGAACAATTTAAAGGCATCACACAAATTAAGGACAATAACTACCAAGTAGAAATAAGTACTGAGTTTTAAGTTCTGAACGACCCAGTATAAACTAGATGGAAGTGCTTCAAAGGAATGCGAGAAAATACAATTCACCTTTTCCTTTCTTTTCATTCTTTGAACAGTCAAGTTCAAAAGTCATTAAGTGGGAGGCCAAGCAAGGTTAGGACTTCATGGCCTGCTCCCGGTAACAACTGCAAGCAAGTGCATCCTCCCAGGCCCCCCACATGAGTCCGATGGTTCTCTTGATAAGGGGTTACCTCCACGGCTACCTCTAGATGGAGTCAGTGGCCCGGAGGCTGGGGAGCACCGAGCAGGCGTGTGTCAGGTGGCCAGTATTAATGTTCCTGTCTTTGTCTGATGTTCCCTCCTCCAGCCTGGGAAGAAGGGCTGCTCTGGGCATGAAGGAGCTGTCCCCTGGACAGAGAACCGAGCCTGCCCCACCTACAGGCAGCACCCGTGATCTCTGAGCAGACTGAACACTGGGCCTCAGAGAACACAGTTTGCACATTCTGGGCAGCCTAAATGATAAGGCCAGCAGCCCTAGCAGTAATGTCTCTCTCCAGGAAGTTAAGGGCCTCACCCTGATGGCTGGGGTGAGAGCAGCCAGCCAGGAGCAGGTTCCGCAGGCCACACAACCCGTGTTACTGCCAGGGAGGCAGATCTGGTTCAGCTTGTCCAGGGAGGTCTGCCTGGAGGGGGGCAGGGAGCCATCCAGCCGGAAGTCCTGCACCCATGGGACAGGCTTTGGCCCACAAGGCTGAACTAGACAGGATGCCAGGACTCAGTCCCAGGATGGCCGTGACCAGACTTTGCCTTTCTCTGCTTGTAGCAGGTGGAGCACCCCCTCCAGATCAGAGAGAGGCAGATCTACGTTCTCCTGATTGACAGGAAATTGTGGGGGGCAATGCTTCCTCTTGGAAGGGGTCCCAGCCTTGGAAGGATGGGAGGGAGGAGATCCCCTTCTTTCTATTCCACAGATAGTCTAAAGAAGGTGCCACTGCTCGATGGGGGAGTCTTCAGAAAAAGTCCCCTTCTCTCTGTCTCTCCTGCTCAAGCCCCAGGGGAGAGGGGGTAGTTAGGAGCAGGTGCTGCTGGGGGAGAATTGTGGCTAGACTCTTCCTCCCCGGAGGCTGTAGAATATGACTCAACAGACCAAAGTCAAAGCTGTTCTGGGAAGGATCTCCAGCTGGGATGACGACTGTTTGACCACTGGCTGCCCAAAGCATCCGATTCTCTCTGGGACAGCTGGGTTTAAGGTCATGGGAGCCTGCTCTCCGGTGGCTGTTACTACGGTGATTCCAGGGTTGGTTGCTCTTCCTTCTTAGATGATTGGTTAGGTCCACCATGAGACTTTTGCTTTCAATTCCCAGATCTACTTTTGTCTCATATTCCTCATTTCAGAACTGGAACTTACCATCTACCCAATTGTTTAAACCAGAAAGCTGGATGTGATCTTCGATTCAGCCCTCCCCCTTCCCATTTGTGTCTCCTCTCTTCACTGCCACCACGATAATCCAAACCATCATCATCGGCTGCCCAACAGGAGCCTCTTTATTGATCTCCCCATTTCCTCTTTCACCGCCCCCACCCCCACCAATCTACACATCTCCCAGCAACCAGTAACCATCCCCCCACCGTGGTTCTTGGGCACAGCACCGAGGTCATTTCCTTCAGGCACTTGGCACAAGTCATACGTTTATTGTGGTGTTCACTTCGTTATCTGTCTCCCCCCCTAGACTATGGCACCGTGGGGCAGGGGAGCTGCTCAGTGCATCATTGTATCCTTCCTACCAGCACGGTGCCTGGCACAGAGTAGATAATAATTTTTAGATGAGTGGCATTAGGCCAAAGAGCTTAGATTTGCAAGGAGGAGTTTCACACATTCTGGAAAAAGGACTGATAAAGCATAAAGACACGTTAGAACATTAAAAGGAATGATGGAGGCAGCTGGATGGACATCAGTGGATCTTCCTTACTAACAGCCTGCCAGTTGATGGGGCCTACGGTAACGGGATAAAATGCAAGAGGAAAGGATGGAATCCTAAAGAGAGTTTAAAGGAGGAATTCCTATCTTCCAAAATATGTTGGGAAGGAAAGAGTCACTGATGTTGTAAGGTTGATGAGCCAGAAAAATAGCGTTACTTCATCTCTTTGAAAACAGAATAGCATGACTAGGGAAAACCTCAGTTTTTAGGCATGTTGAGTTTGAAATGACTCTAAATATTTCCTGTGGGCCACGGGAGAACAGCCACACTCTGTCGACTTCTTTGAAAAGCCTCTTTGACAACGTGGTCAGCCATGACATAGTCATCAGGTTTATGATTCTTGATTTCCTTGCACAGAAAGTCAAGGAATTGAAATAAATTCTATAGTTCTAGCAGAAACGAGAGAGTTAAAGCTTCAAAATTCTAAACCCTGTTACATATTAAGGACACAGCCAAATAGTTTTGAGCCATAATTTCGTTACATCAGACATGACCACTAATAGGTTTGCCATTATCTATTGAATATGCAATGATTTCATTGTATGAGTACCTGTCATAACTAATTAACTGCGTGTAATGTATGTTTTTCCGTGTTTTCCAAATTTTCTATGACAGCATGTATTATTTTTATAAATCAGGAAAAATATGGGATACTTTTTTTAAACAAAAATATAAAGACTCACTGTGTCAATTCCTGAATGAATAGCTTTGGGGTAACCACTTGCCTTTACACACCAAACATATGTAAGCACAGAAGTTACTAAATGTTCCCAGAAATCACTAGAAATTTCCCTCCAGGAAGTACACACATGTTGATGTTTCTTGGAATTCTCTGCAGCTGGTTTCCCTTCTCTGGTTTCAGACTGCTTGGTCCCAAAAATCGCTGGGCTGGAATTATACAGTAAGTCCATTGTTCCAATAATTCCCCCTGAAGGCAAAATTCAGGGATTTGTCCCTTTTTTGTAATTATAGTCCCAAACCTAACTATTAGCTATTCTTCTTGATGTTGTTTTGATCTCTTGGAGGATTTTCACATCAAAAGTGTCTTTTAGGGGTTTGTTTTATTGTGGTAGGGCTTCCATTAGAGGAGCAAACCAGCTTGAGGAAGTAGCAGGGGTGGGTGGGGAGGGGAGTAGAGAATATTGCATGCCAAATTCATAGTCCTCTTGGTTATTAGACTGAAGGATGGCCCAGAGGTGAGTGACTGGGAAAGAATCATCTGGAAATAATGACATTGAGGATTACTGCAAAAAAAAACTGGGCATATTTCACCATGAGAAGGTAGGACATTGGGGCTTTGTAGCAAGAGGGATTAAATGCTACTCAAAGAAGCAATGCATCATGATAAGAGGAAGAATGAAGTCAGCCTGATATATAAAGAACAATTAAAGTTGTCAGGAAATGGAGCATACTGCTTCATGTGACATAAGCTGTCTACTCACGGAAATTTTCAAGAAGATTCTAGAAGACTGTTCTCTGGGACCTATGGTCCAGGAAGGCTGTGTGATGGACAGAGCATTGCACTTTATTTCTCACTTAGGCTCCATGTCCATGGTGGACTGACTACTGCATCCTATTTGTCCTCACTCCAGGACCCAGGCTAATGGAGCATCTACTACCCGGAAAAATGGCAGTCACCCTGTTAAAGGGAAGGAAGAGCTTCAGAGGGAAGTGACGCATGTCATTTCTGCTCACATTTCACTGGCCGAAGCAAAGTGCATGGTCACCCCTAAAATCAGGTGGGCAGCAAAATGCTTATGCCTTCTTTTAGCAGGCAAATAGAAATGGTTCATAATATAAGTGGCATGTAGCTTATAATTTTTTAAAACTCAGATGTGAATAGAACTTTTGAAATGCTTCGTGGGGCTTGGGAACAGTTTGTTCTTTGTGCTCTTAAGCAGTTTCAGCATTATTGCAGTTAGAGGGCAGGCTCCAGGGCCCAGAGTAAGATGTAGTCCTTGTGTAGTTTGGGAATATAGGTGAGGTTTGGTTGGGTGAGGTCTGGAGCCGATGACCAAGAAAGAATTCTTGACAGGTCTCTGATGCAAAATGGTGGTTTTATTAAAGCTCAGGGACTGGACCGGTGGGCAGAAAGAGCTGCTGCCCCAGCATTGTGAGGGGTGACTGATTATATCCTTGGGAGTTGGGGGAGGTAAGGAAAAGGGAGGTTTCAAAAGGATTTTCATGCGTTAAAGAAGACTCACAAGATCCCGGAGGCCTTGCCGTTGTCAAGTTAAAGTTGTTTTTCCCTTGGGTGCGTGGGTGGCTCAGTCGTTAAGTGTCTGCCTTCGGTTCAGGTCAGGATCCCAGGGTCCTGGGATCGAGCCCCGCATCGGGCTCCCTGCTCCGCGGGAAGCCTGCTTCTCCCTCTCCCACTCCCCCTGCTTGTGTTCCCTCTCTCGCTGTGTCTCTCTCTGTCAAATAAATAAAATCTTTAAAAAAAAAAAAAAAAGGTTGTTTTTCCCTCTAGCAAGGCATTAACATGAAGATAGTTGGGAGCTTCCTGGAGGAATGTGACCCGTATCCCACTCAGAAGTGTGTGTGCTGGGGGGAGGTTGCAGGGTGTCAGCTCGTGCTTTGTCCTTAGTTAGCCTTCTGCGCCCTCATCAGTCCCAACTCCGTGGTTATGTCTAAGAAAAGGCAAACTTCCGAAGCGGAAACTAACAGAAATCCATGTGCCAGGGACGGGGTTAGTGTTCAGACACAGAGCTTTGCAATGGTAGTGTTAGTATTGTTGTTCTGAGACAATTTTTTATGTCTTATGGGAGAAAACAATGGAGTAATTATGTTGGAGGTGCCGGCAAGCAAAATTTTCGCTATGGAATCAAAGAGGAACAGATGTAAGAACAATGAGATTAATTTAATTTCACTCAAATCCTGATTTTGAATTGGAAGTACCGCTATGAACTCAGTATATTTTTTTCTTAAAAAAGAAAAGTATTTTCCAGCTCTGTCTACTGAGAAAGCCTAGAAATAAAAAGAAAGTCGCTAAGGAGTGCCCAGGTTATGGCCTCTAATTACCACTTCCCACTAAAAGAAATCAAGCTTCTTGGAAAAATGGCTGATTCCAGATTAGGCACAGGAAATATACAGGTTGAGCCTGGAACATCATGTGATCCAAGAAGGCAAGAAATTTATCAGCGAATACTTGAGTCATGCAAAAAGGCTCAGCAACCAGATTGAATGGTCTCTTCCTGGAGAGAGGGGATACTTTGAACAATTTTAAGAATACAAACTGCAGTGGTTTGAAACACATCAAATGTGCTTGAATTCACCAGCTCATATACCTGCAAATCCCCAGTGGAGACCATTGCAGAGCTTGTTATTTTGAAAACTGGGAGATAAAAGAAGAGATCTTACCCTTCCTCTATGAACTGCACCTTAGGTAACCAAATAGTTGATGAGAGGAAGCTTCTCTTTATGGAAGTATTCCAGTTAATAAACAAGAAGAAATCACTGAATTAGAATTATGACTATTTTGCAACCCCTAATGAATTAACGGAGATAGGTAATGATCATCAGTAGCAATAAGCACACAAAAAGAACAGGTATCTAGACATTTATGCCTCAGGACGGAAGTGCATATCCTACCTATAAAGTATACCCTCTGCAATACCAGCAAGTAAAAATCAGTGACTCTCAACACTTTTGCCTTCCAAGAGACATTTGGCATTGTCTGGAGATATTTTTGATTATCACAATTAGGAGAGAGAATGCTACTAGCATCTAATGGTTAGAGTCTAGAGACTCTGCTTAACCTCCAACGCAGCATAGGACAATTCCCCACCATGAAGATATGGTCCCAAATGTCAATAGTGCTGGGCTTGAGAAATCTCACTTTAGATCAAATAATCAATTTACGTATAATTATGTATATAGTGACAGGGGAACAGGTCAAGTGACATCACAGGGATGCAATCAACAAGATCAGATCGTGGGAAACTCTAAAAGACAATCGAAGTAGTTTCTTTAGCAAATAAAAGGGTATTTATCTTTTAGAGGTATATGCTGAAATATTTACAGATGAAATGTTATGATGTCTGGGTTTCCTTCAAAATAATTTACAATGGATATGGGTGGATGGATGGGGGTCTACATGAAATAAGACTGGCCATGAGTTAATTGTTGTTGAACTGGGTAGATAAGTATATGAGGGTTCACTGTCTGGTATGTTAAAATTATGTGTGATAACAAGTTAAAGGATTTTAATCATTTATTATATAAAATGATGATGAGGGGCACCTGAGTCGCTCAGTTGGTTAAGCATCTGCCTTCAGCTCAGGTCATGATCTCGGAGTCCTGGGATGGAGCCCCACATCAGACTCCCTGCTCAGCGGGGAGTCTGCTTCTCCCTCTGCCTCTGCTCTCTCTCTCTTCCCCCTGCTTATGCATGTTCTCCCTCTCTCTCAAATAAATAAAAAAATCTTTAAAAAAAATAAAATGATGGTGATAACAAATGATAGTTTAAAGAAGTTTTCTTTACTTTAAAATAAAAGGGTAGCATCTTTTTATCAGTGTATTCGTTTTCTACCGCTACATAACAAATTGTTCCCAAACTTTGCAGGTTCAAACATCTCATATCTGAGATCTTCTTAGCCAGATGGTTCTGGCTCAGCAGCATCCACAAGATTGCAGTGAAGATAGTGGCTGGAGCTGCAGTCCCCTGAAGGCTTGGCTAAGCCTGGATGATCCTCTTACAAGATGGCTTACTCACATGGCTATTACCTGGATGCCTCAGTCCCTTGTTACAGGGCCTCTCTATAGTGCTGCAGAGTGTCTTAATGGCATGGAAGTTAGAGTCTCTCGCAGCGAGCAATCCAAGAGAAAGAATAAGCAAGGGGCTGCAGTGCCTCTCGTGACCTGGTCTTAGAAGTCTTACTGTCGGGCGCCTGGGTGGCTCAGTCGGTTAGGCGACTGCCTTCGGCTCAGGTCATGATCCCGGAGTCCCAGGATCGAGTCCCGCAT